CCAGAAATAGTTCCCATGACTAGCATTACAACCGAAAGCACGATAAAAATATTAAATATTTTTGCAAGATTCGGATTTCCCAGGATAATCGTTTCTGATAACGAACTCCGATTCAGCAGCAAAGATTTCAATGATTTTTATTTAAAAAAATATTCAATTAGTGCACGGAAGTCCTTACCACCCTCAGACAAACGGCACGGCCGATCGTTTAGTTGGAACTTTTAAACAGAGCATGAATAAAAGAAACGAGAGGGATTTAGATACCAGTAATTCTTCAAGAAAGACAAATTACAAAGGTAAACTAAATTTATAACTAGGAAATAATATAATATTTTGTTAACATATACGAGGAATGGGAGGATCTTATAAAAATTAAATCTATCCTATTTTCTTTATAAGAAACTATAAATATAGTAGTAATTTGATTCTATTTTATTATATTTTAATTCTTGAACACCATAAAAAATGGGAAACCAGTTTTCTAAATTCTTTAACAATGTAAAACAGCCTATGATAAATTGCTGGATTATTATGATTTAACTCGATGATGCAATAATAACCACAATATTAGATCCCAGGCTTAAAGTAGTAAATTTTAAATTAATATCCGATGATTATGATATATCCAAGTTAACGAATAAATTTAAAAAAAATTCATAACAGCTATTGTAGGCATTTAATTTACCCCCATTTAAATAAATATAATTTTATTTTAAAAGCTGATAATTATAACTGTCAAACTAATAAGGATAAAATAATATTCAATTCTGTTAAATAGATTTATATCTGAGTGACCACAGCAGGAGTCACTAGCTTTTAAGACCTCAGCGGGCTCAACTAAATATTTTTTATAGGGGTTTAGCCCCCCATACTTTCCTTCCGCCCCCGTTTTTACCCGCTCTTCGGCTTTAATTGAAATTTGCAAACTCTGAACAATTTTTCTGATTTTCACATTTTGTCATTTATTACGCATACAAATAATGAAAGCAAAACTATACAAGATATTTCTAAAGATAATATTTTTTTAATACAAAATATTTATCCATTTATTACAATATTAAATATTTTATGGATTAAATGATAAAAAAGGTTAATAATTCATACACTGTCTTAATTGATAATGATAATGTAAAACAAGGCAATATAATTCTTAGCATAAAACTAATTTAACGTTGTGTTACTATTTTAACAATGTTTTATAGAATGGACTAATAAAGAAAAATTTGTAGGCCTAACCAAATCAATAAGAGGAAGAGAATATAGACGACAACCCAAAACTTAAAACTTATGGTGGTTAGAGCTTCCTCTTAGATGTCATTGTGGAAGCTAGATAAGTAATCGAGAAAATTATTGTGAGATATAATTTTTAAAAGGTTAGCTTCCATTTTTAATGATATATAAACGACTAGACAGTTGACATTATTACTCATCTAAATTATGCAATTAAATGTTATCAGCATCAGGAGAAATAATCTTATATTATAATAGCCATACAAATAATAGATACTGGTTAATTTGCAGTCATAGCCATGACATTCACGATTTAGATAAATTGATAAAAAAAACATTAAAAATCTTTAGAAGAAATAATTTTTTAAATATATTGAAGAATTACTTACAAAGAAGCCATAATAGAAATGAATCATTTAGTAACTAGAAAGTAAGAAAGTTTGTAATAATATCAAAATATTATATTAAAGATTTAACTCAGACTTGGTTTTCAAAGAAGTATAAAATGGTTTTTCTATAAACACCTAAAAAGGGAGAAGGAAAAAAAGATATCTAATAAGGATTATATCCATTGTGGGATGAATAATTTTTAATGATATTTTTTTATTCATAAAGGGATGGTGTTAAGAATTGAATGCAATTTGTTACTTTTATTTATTAACATAAGCATTGATTAGTAAAGTTTATTTAATATATTCTATAACTGTCAAATACATCTGTAAAAGTGGCATTTTACCTAAAATTTTTTAACCAATTCTATATAATAGAGATATTAATCAACTATATATCTACTTACTTTTTTAAAAAATTTTCTTATACTTGTTTGGACATTGGAAATATTTTTAGGAAGAGGCATGGTAATTAAATTTAAAAATGGATTGGTGATTTTGAACTCTGGTAATTACGATATTAAATTTGTTAATTTTCAATATATAAATTATTTTATTTTTTTAATTAGGGTTATAAAATAATTTAAATAATAAAAAATCAATTAAGCTTCAACTATTAATGCTTTATTTATATTTAGACATTATGATTGATATTCCATTTTTAACACAGAATTTGATTGCGCAAGCTGACATAGTGACAATATAGTTTATAAGTATTAATCTAATCTAATAATTAAAATAGCAGTCATTATATAAAAATTTAGATAGTTTTATTAATTTTTAAATAATAAAATAAAATTTATATATAATACTTAATAAAATTTTAAAAGAAATCGTTCAGGTGGCTATCAAAAAAATTTTTTAGTTCAGGGGATATAAGGAGCCATTAAAATAAAATTAAGGGGGGTATTCAAATTTTTTTAACGGGGCTCTAGGCCCTGTGTCCTCCTTCTAGTAACGCTATTGGAACAAAGAGTCATACTGATTAGTTAATTTGGTGGAACGCAAATGCATATCAAATCCCCATACTCTCAAAAATGGCAAGGGATTGCATATTTATAAAAAGGAACATCTTCTACTTGTGAAAAGTTTTTTAAGCTGGAATTAATTTTCAAAAAAATCGCAGCTTGTCATATAAAAAAGAAAAATTTTTTGACATAAAAATTATTTCAATTATTTGAATAATTCAAATCGAATACAAATAATAGATTTTATTATTCGTAAGAATATGTATTAAATTATTTTGAATAATGCACTTATTCGAATTTGTTTTTTGAATAGACCTAATGTCTATTGATTGTTTTGATTTAAATAGACAAGCTTAAA